ATATAACTTTGGTAAAACTAGTGGTGCAAAAACAGTTGTAATTTTTGCGCAATTTTCGAACATTAGCAATTGCCGGTGTCGCTAGCTGAATTTCTTAGCTATGCTTTGTGAAGACATGGAGGTTAAGCGAATTTGAGATTCCGCGGATTCCTGGTTGGGTGATATCAAGAGTATATTACAAAGTCGGCGTTATGTTATTCCGAAGCTCCTTATTTTTAAGGAGGGGAGAGGGTCGACCTCCCACTCCGACGGAAGAAACGAATCAGAAAGAAGCATCCATTTCTGCTCCTCACTAGCCAATAAGCGTTGGAAGGCGATATACCAATTGAAATGGAGGGCAGACGTTACCCGGGACATTTGAAATTACCTTATCTAGCAATATTTTACTATGGCAAGCAGTTAAAGAACAAACTATTTTACGTGAAATTAGTGCGTAAGGTAATGTAGAAGTCAGTAATTCTGAAAGGATTTATAATTGTGACGTAGTTAAATAAATTGTAATGATGCTAGTGAAAATAAAAAAAAGTAATTTCATATAAATAATATTATTTGTAAAATATGTAAATACACATCATACACAAAAAAATACAATATGCATAAAGAAAAATCCTGTTATGTGAAATAAAGGAATAAATTCTGTCCAATCATGTGCCACACTAATATTACACATAATTTCAATGCGACAAAATATAACCAAATGAAACATACAAATACCTACTTAAAATTATATCTATATATAATTTTCACCATTCCCGTCACCTTGTTGGATGCAAACGGAATGGGAATATTTATATGGAGCAATAATTGCACACATGAAAACTGTTCAAAGGATTGGTTGTCTCGGTACCTTAGTGGTTATAGAATCTGGGCATAAACCAGAAGGCCCATGTTCGAATCCTAGCCAGGGCAACCAATTCTTTGAAAAAATTGAACTATTAAAATTATACCATTCATAAAAGAATTCATAAAATCGTCATTTAGCAGTTGTGAAGAAATATGTTTAGAAAATAGTGTACATTTCCCGGTAACAATCCCAATCTATTATACAAAGAGCTCTGTATATAGTTCACAAGACAAACAGTTAAGACTTTTTATTTGAGAAACAAATGTCTTCAATTTGGTACATATTATGTGTACACGTGAAACTGTAACTTTATTTACATTGCCATTCTTTTGATCAGTGAAATATTGGAATCCTGCAGCTTGGATGTACAGGAAAAAATCCATCTTATATGTTAAAAGAAGAGGTTATGCCTATGTAGGAAAAGATATGGAGTAGATTTAACAGAATCTACTTTGAATTGATTTATCCCAAAATATTTTTTTGACTTGTAAATTTGCATTCCGACAATATATTAATTGTCCAAAAGCACAGCAAGTTGCTCAATTACACACAATATCACATCATACACTCAGAATTACAGAATATTCCCTTTTACATATTAAATTGTTTTTAATTATTAAGAAAAGATCTTCATTATTGTCTGTTAAATCATGACATTTTTTTAAAAACATTGTAATGCCAAACTAAATTGAGGGATATTAATAGTGATTAACACATACAAATAATTATTACTTCTCAAACACTGGCTAACTAATGTTTATGCCATGATACTCCCTATTATTCTTGTCATTCCACCAAATGAAGAATGTTCACATATGAATGTATTTATGTACATAAAATGCAAGAAAAGTGCACTTTATAACTTCCTTTTCAAAACATATTTATATGCATAACTTTAGTGACAACTTAGTCAGTTGCAGGTTTAATTAAGAACATCGAAAGAAAAAAACATAACTCAGAAATTCAAAATGTGTGGCATGTCAATTTACATCCATGAGTTAATTCATATGCATATGTATTCCAATCTTTAACACACGATTTGTATTAATTCTTATAATATTCTTTGTAATAATAGACTTGGAACATTGTAAATCCCTCTCGTGAAAACTACCCCTAACCTCCAACTATATGCAATGAACTCACATTTGACACTCGCACAACAGCTTACCAATTGCAGCCTATTTGTTTGGTGAAAGAATACATTTCACAGTAATACTAACTAGTTTCAAACCCTGTCAAAATATCATCTACTATTTTGAACAGACAAATTTGGATCTAAACAGACCATGAGCAACACTACATACTACAGCATATCACTTGAAATCCAAAACTACCACACAGCAATACTAAAAGACAACCAAAATTGACAGTAGTAATACTTCAGATCACATATTGGAATAAATGCCACCTCCAGGATGTCCTGCACTCTTTTCCAGCAGGTAGGGAGCAGCCTGTAATACAAAAAGAGGCATTATTGAAATTCAAGATGTGTAGTGCTGTCTCACCTTCATAAAAAAAAGGTTTCTGTACTCATCAGATCATGCAAAGAAGCTGAAATTATTAGTAGCTGCAATGTGTGAGGCAGGCCTGCAAATCAAAGAGACAAATGATGGAGCTGAAAAAAAATTTAAAGCTTTCTTATTAGTACATATCATAAATGCTCTGGATTCTCCATTAGGCACCTCAGGGCATTGTCAGGAAATTTTACTGCGGACTGCAGTCAACTTTTCTGGCAAGATGTGCTCTTTGCATCTTGATCAGGTTTTGTTCAGTTTCCCTGATCCTTTGAGCAAATGCTGAGATGGCCCCTTGTTTGCTCCTGAACAGTAATATAACTTCGCTCTCTCCACCCAAGGCATCATATTGACTCGTCATACACGATTGTAATTGTATATATGTGACTCAATAAATATTATTATTATTATTATTATTATTATTATTATTATTATTATTATTATTATTATTATTATTTGCACACGTACCTCCTCCTGTTCATGTCCTCTGTGTACAAGACACAAGTGTTAGGTCCTAATTCCCATCAGCCATTTCATAAACCTATAATAAAATTTGTAATATATAAATTGCCAAGTAACACAAATATCCAATTTAATGTTATTGCAAACAAAAATCATAGGACTATACAAAAAATTAGGGGAATAATATTACAGTAATTAAACCAATGTTATAAATACTTAACGTAATAATATGAAACATTCTTAACAAACGTGCAAAATATTAATATCACTAACTTTGTAAGTCTTGTATTTTCCGTTGTCTACCACTCCATTAATATAGCAATTGTAAAGCGAACAACGTCGAAAATTCGGCATTTTCCTTCAAAATCTGAAATCTTCAAAACCACAAACTGCGGAACGTGGAACTAAGAGACGGTTATACACGTTATACATACAACGAATTCAAAATTGGTTGGGGGTCAGTTTCGAGTTTTCAGAGTCGGAGCTATCATCAGATGGGCACATTTTCTATTTTTTTATTAGTTGGCAAAAGTCGCTATAGAGCGTTCTACAATAATGGGCAGTAATGGCATATATCATCAGCGATCATCAGTTCCACCACTACGTTGCTGAAATAAGGAATTATCCCAGCTTAAGAAGTGACATCTAGAAACCCCTGGATGACGCCCCTAAAGAATAATAAAGGAGGATTACTCTATGCAGGCTCTCAACGCCCAACAGGGATTCAGAGACGCGTTGCGTCTATAAAGACCATTTTTTTTTTACAAAATTCGAAAGTTCAACAAAAATAAGACTTGCACTATTTTTAAGCGTTTTTTACTCTATCTCAGAAAAAAATAACGAAAAGGTATTGGGACCGTGTTTGAGAATTGGTTTTATAAATTGCATTAACTTCAATCAGAAATTAAATAAAAACTACTCGATTTTTCAAAAAAATTGTATACGACCATATTTAAAAATCTAGTTGTTAGAACTGATTTAAGGCAAAAATATCTACCATCAACATTGTACATATGCAGTGTTAATGTTTTTCAATTTTGGAAAATGCAGGGAGTTTGATTTTACAATACGCACCGGTTGCGAAAATGGGACCAGGACCATTGTTTTATCTCCCCTTGCTTACATGAATAAAAATAGTTGTTTAAAAATTGTTTATTTCACGTAAAATTGCGTGAACGTTAGTCACATTTTGTGAAATTTTTACTTGATAAAGATTTTGTTCATGATCTGCCTTTCAACAAGAATTTATTTAGAAAAATCTCTATCTTCAATATTGTAGCTGTAGAAAATTGCCGAAAATAAATCGGAATTTGACAATTCTCGAAAAATCAGGAACTTCAACGAAAACTAGGTCTGCGCCGAGAGTCTGTTGAGAGTTCGTTATTCAAGGACAATGTTCCATTAACGAAAAAACAACAACAACAAAAAAAAAAAAAAAAAAAAAACATTTTTGGAGAAAAATTGTGAAAATGTTGAGTCTTCATGTACAATACTACAAAAAATCGACTTATACGTTTCTTCAGATCAACGAGGGAATATCAATTTTCAAGATAACCGTCTGAAAAGTTTAGACGCTAGCGATTACCACAAACGGACGGACAGAACAATGCCCCTATAAACGGATGTGTTTCTTTCATGTGACCTGTGAAATATGTAACTCTTTGTATCTATGGTTATACTTTTACGTTGTTCATTAACTCGCAGGTCTGAAAGTGTATTGCTCTTTGAAAGATATTTTACAAATTTTGTTGTTTCATTCAAAATTTTAAATAAGTATTCTAATTTTTGCTGCCCTGGTTCAATACACCTCTCGATTTAGGGTCACGACGGCGCTGCCATTTTCTTAAACGCCCTTCACACTATCCAACAATGAATTTTAATAACAAAACGATGGAGTAATTTTATTATTAAATGTCCCAGGGTCTGTATGTAATGTACACCCCCCACCCGCAACAAAAATTAAAATATTGGTTTCAACTTCAAGGGGCCGCAACATGAGATAGATCGATTGAGGCATTTCAATTTTGGAGAAAAAAAGCTGAATCGTTTAACAGCTTGTGTTGTTTACAGGCTGACAGACGTTTTGCCGCCATTCGATTTTTCGGTATCATGAACCCACAAAACGTATTCTTGCTACACCACATGTGTGAAGATTTTTTTTTTTTTTTTTTTTTTTTTTTTTTTTTTTTTTTTTTTTTTTTTTTTTTTTTGCGCAGCATTACATTACTTTCTCTCTACTGTGTAAGCGGTTGCGAGAAAGTAAAAGTGCCTTAAATGTTTTACATGCACCAAACATTTTTCTGCAATGCTTTAGGAATGACTGCGTATAAACTCTTATCTAGAGCAGAGCAGAAGCTAAGACGACAAACTTTGCTCCTTGTATAGAGTTCATATCTCACCACCCACTTAAGAAAATTCCGAGTACACAGCATATCTGTGTGAAGTTTCACAGCCTTCTGCTGCGTGCGCACCGGGTCGAGGCCGAAACGCATGGGAGCCGCTTCGCATTTGGGCAGGATTGGGGCTTTTGAAGTGCAAGTCATACAGTGCATATACTCTCTGGTGCAAGTAGGCCGCACTCGGATCGGAGCGTGTGCGGGCGTTCGCCTTGGGCTTCTCGTTGCTGGTAATATACTCTCTGGCTGGTAGTGTCAAGCAACTGCTTTGTTTTGGAGAAAATAGCAATTCAACATGGATTTCTGCGACTTTCTCGCCATAATAGGTGTTTTAACAACATTATATTTCATTGTGTATATAACTGCTCTGTGTATAACAGATTGTGATTTAGAACTGGCATGGGCAGAAAAGTTTGGGAGGCCAATAGGTGAGGAAAAAAAATTATATAAATGTATTGCGTCAGTGTATGTGTTGAAAATCTAAAAACAAATTTGATTATACAACATTCTATAAAGTTGATTATTGTAATTTACTTCTTCTCTCTATTATGTATTTCTGATTTTGACATTTCTTTATGTAGATGTATTGGAAGGAGATGTTGCATGGATAACTGGTGCATCAAGTGGTATCGGTGAACATATTGCTCTGGCATTAGCGCAGGCTGGAGTTCGTCTTGTTCTTTCTGCTCGTCGAAAAGCAGAACTTGACAGAGTAAAACAGAAATGTATTGGTGAGTATCTTTGTACAAAATTAAAATATATAGGATTGTTGTCATTGTAATGTGATATTTGTATTATTAATTTATAGTCGTTTATAATAGAAATAGGACGTAATTTGAAAGATGAAGATATCTTGGTTTTGCCACTTGATGTAACTGACTATGACTGTCATCAGGAATGTTTTGATCGAGTCATTGATCATTTTGGAACTGTAAGTAAGTGGATAAACATTTTTAAGAAATGGAAAGCATAAGAGGGTTTTCATAAATATTTAATCAATTATTGTTTCAGCTTGATATTCTAATAAATAATGCAGGAAGATCACAGAGAGCTGATTGGGAGAAAATTGAATTAAGTGTTGATAAGCAGATGTTTGATCTCAATGTGTTTGGTGTAGTGGCTTTATCACGCATTGCTGTTCGGTATTTCCTGGAAAAAGGTGGAGGTCATATTGCTGTAACATCCAGTTTGGCTGGTGTGTTTGGAGTTCCCTTTTCTGGAACATATGATGGTACCAAACATGCAATTCACGTGAGTTTCATTTGTACAGCTTTACACATTACTTTTTATGGATTTGATAAAAAAAAAAAAAAAAAAAAAAAAAAAAAAAAAAAAGTATTATATAATGCACTAGCAACGTTTTTTATTTAACAAAGTTTTAAGTCATAGGATTATTATGCCCTTTTACACTTTGAAAATATGGTGAACAAATGATCACGGCATGATCTATTAGTGCATTAATACGTTACAGATTTTGTTGAAAGTATGTTAGAGTATTTCGGACTTAATAGTGTAAACTCAGTTGATTTATGCTTGTTTGACTGCCAGTTAAAAATTACAAAAACTTTCAATATAATCAATTTGAGTAAAATAGTAAGTTCCTAACATTTTAATTTAGTTTTGAAAGAGAAAATAATTTTTATTTTATACATAACATTTTAGTTTTTATCACTACATTGTAGAAATCTCTTAAAATTGTTGTTGGAAATTTCAAATATTTAAATTTAAAAATTGCTACCCCATAAACAATAGCTAACTGATAGCTTGTGCCTCCCAAGCACCTCATAAACAGCAGAAAAATGTGACCTAGATTGAATGGTAAAGTGTAACTAAAGTTACTGATTTGTTAATGATGATTAATGAAATTACAGCAGTATTTATAATAAAGTATTTAACATATCATTTCAGGGTTACTTTAATGGTCTCTTAGCTGAGAAGATTGGAAAAAATATACACGTAACACTTCTGTGTCCTGGTCCAACATTTTCCAATTTTTTAGCTGAAAGTTTTACAGACACTGCTGGAGAAGTAAGAGCTTTGTCATACCTTAAAACATATTCTAATAGTTTTCAGACTTAATTGTGTTTTATTTTTAATTTTTGCATATCTAGAAATACGGTCAACCTGTTAGGCCAACTGATCGAAGGATGACTGGCGAGAGATGTGGAAAACTATGTGCTGTTGCCATAGCTAATCGCCAGCGAGAAGCTTGGATGGGTCTTTTCCCTCTGATGCCATTGGTTTACTTAATTTATTTTCCAAACCTAGGCAGCATGTAAGTATTCTTCGATCAACAGCAATTAAAATCCTAATTGAGAAGTCTTTTTTTAATGAGCATATGCATATAGATTATTAGTTCAAAAGGTACATAAGAAAGAATGTATAAGAAGTTAAATTATTTCGAATTATTATCGAGTATTTTTTAATTATTTTTGAGTGTATTATTTTTAATCTTGAATTTTTTAATGTTGCAAGATTTTAGTGAATTAAATATTAAGAAATGTATTTTTTTTCCAGCATTTTACCATACATTGGGAGCAAACAGCTTATGAAATTACGGGACAGCAAAGTTAAATAATTGTAAATTCATAAAAAGGGACAACGGTAAACATTTGAAAGTACATACTAGAATCTTAAAATGTTTAGCTATTGTTAAGACATCATACTGATACGTGCCTTCACTGTTTCAACCTTTTCTTTGAAAAAGTAGATAAAGAAAAAAATTGAGATATGATAGCATTTTGTTGTAAATTTTATTCATTCATTTAATCATTATTGCTCCATAATTTTGGTTTTATTTTTAATGTTTTAAATAACAAGAGGAGTCTGTGAATTTGAATATTTAAATACCCCATGTGTGCAAATAAGACTGAAATCTTCCAATTCTTCACATATTCCTTTAATTGTGTGCTGATTGCATTGCAATTTACAAATTTCATTTCAGCTTGTGAATTTTCTGTTCTTTGGTAATGAATAATGAAAACAATATACATAAAGTCAAATTTTGTTTCATTGTACTGTTAGCCACAAGCATCAGAGCTTATATCTAAAAGACTTTTGCCCCCCTCCCATTTTTCTCTTATTTCTGCATTCTACAGTGACAAGTCTTACAAACCTGATATTTACAATGAAAACTCATTTATTAACTAATATAATATAGCCTAATATTGTTCTTTTTGTTAAGTCCGTGGCAATGTAATTTATGTTGTCAAATATTTTACTCATTACCTTTTTCTCTGCGCCCCCATTATCATATGCATATTTTTTTTAAGTTACTTTATTACATCATTATTAATTACATTATGATTGCATATTTCCAAGTCCTAATAAAATATGAGGGAGAAATAATTTGGAGGCTTATTCTCTGCATTGTTTCTTTCATGTGTGTTCCAAGGATTCTGTTATACTTCAAAGTACAGTCAACTTAGATTTACTGATTTTTCTAATTTTAAATAATTAAATATAATTATTACTATTATAATAAAAAAAATAGATGGAGACTAGGTAATAAATTGAATCATTATCATTGGAAATACAATAAAACTTCAACAAATACCAGAAATTTCATATTACAAGCAAAACAAAAAAAAAAAATAATATTTTAAAATGGCACTCTTCACTCTTGGACATGCTTGCAGGAAATGGTACCCATGTTCCTTTGGTTTATTTAATCGAAGAACAGTAAAAACTGTATGTGACAAATGGGGGACGTACCATCTGCGCATGTTTTCTTGTGCTCCAGAATTTCTTCCCAAATTTAACTACAAAAAGTTGAATGATGAATAAAAGCGAATTTAGCTACTTCTGAAAACTAGATATTTCGCTGATTGTGCACACAACCCAAGCTACAATGCAAGTGAAGATAACGCGCGACGCCCGCTAGGCGACGCACGTCTCCAAGAGCGCTCATGTGCCGAATCGCAGAAACGCGGCTCCACACATGGGTACTCGGCTAATCCCGAGCAACGGCTCGCAGAATTCCAAGTACTGTGGCCGGGTTGCTGGCTTTTCGCCGAACATTCGGTATTCGCCCTAGCTACCGCGTCTCGGCCTTTAGGACACATCATCGCGAGCGTACATTTGTCGAACACAGCTGTTCGGAATTGGGCGAGCCGCCTTCAGATACAGCTAATCTACAACGCGCGTCAGCGTAACGCCTTTCACAAAGGCCTAAACCTAAATGTCATTATAAATCTTTGATACTCTGAAGTTTCAATATTTCCTTGAAATGCGCCGAATTTTTATCATACAGTGTGGGTGTACATTTTGCAGAGCCGCACCGGACGACTATTTTTTGATCATTTAGTTTTGTCCAAAATTCCATAATCGAGGTTTGAAACCAGTTAAACGCCCTGCGTAGCGACGAAATGAAACAACATGAATACTGAATTCAATACAAATATTCCGTGGACTCTACGATATCGAAAACGTTCTCACTTACTGGTCTCTTAACCCACGTCGTTATCATTTGGATGTTATACGGTTTTAAGGGACTTTTATGATTAACGTATTATAAGCGCCAAAAACGTAAAACGCATAACTTAATTTAGCATGGGAACTGTAGGAATTTATCCATGACTTACAAAAATATCGTATGCACGTTAAAAATTGTAAGTCCAAAACGTAAAAACGTAGTTTCACTGTACTTCTTACCTATTCATGTTTCAATATCGCATTTTTTAATTACATAATTTCTAATCAAATATGTGCCCGCAAAAAACAAACTAAATTAAAATAACTTTCTTTTATCTTGATTATACTTAATTTTCCTCATCAGTTGAAAAAAAATATGAGCACTGTTCTTAACGTGTACACAGAACAGAGACAATGGCAGTTCCTAAAACGTGAGTCTGCAGTTTGTCCTAAATACACTTAAAAAAACTGAGCGAATCACAAGTTTTAATTTCAATGGTTATTTATGAAAATGCACCTATCTGTCTTCCTAACATTGTGTGTTGTTTGAATCTAGTCAGAGAATATTATCAGGGGAAATATGGAGCAAAATTAATTCATTGAAATGTTTATTAATGTTATTTAACTTTGATGAATAAAATAATCAGTTTTATCTAGCCAGGGATCATTTACTTGCGTGTAATTAAGTGATTGTGCATATTTAAATATATATTTTACATTCTAATAACTACAAACTATCTTGTAGTTGAATTATTTTCTTTTCTTGTTCCCAATTTTTCTTATCAGAATAATGAAGTGTTCATTCCAGCTTTGCAATTTTTATTTGCAAAATCCACTAAGTTACAGGTTGACAAATTTGGAAACTATTAATTTTCTTTAATTACCAAGTATTTAAAAAATTAAATGCTACTTTTTTCATAAATTAATGAAATATATATAAGGTGTTTTGCTGCCGTCCCTTTTGTAAATTTGGCATTTTGAAGAAAGAAAGAAAAAAAAAGAATGCTTATTTCTATTGCACCTGAAACTGAAAGGGAAACAACAATGCAGCCTCCAGCCATGTTGTCTATGGAACTTTATTGGTATTCTTGGTGTGCAAAGAACTTTTGTATCGGTATTTTCTATACTATGTAATTGCAGTATTTGTGTAAACTGTTTTGTTAAAATATTTAATTATGTGTAATATGACAACACTTTATTGTTCTTGACATGTGTGCATGCCACTTTTTTTGGGAAAAAAAAAAAAAAAAAAAAAAGGTTGTGTGGTTTCATTCAGAAGCATTTTTGCATTGGTTTCACTTAATTCTAACACCAGATTATAAAACACTTGGCAGAAAGAACTAGTGTTTGCTATATATTTAATGGCATGTTCCATAAAAATAATACATTTCAATGTGATGATAGATGTGATCTGATAAATGTTAGCTTACTATTCTTGATTCTTTTTCTCTAAACTAATGTGAAGACGTTTAACACGCTTGGCTCGTGGTATTTCTCCATTTATTTCTGCTGCAGGTAATGCTCCAAATGCATCTCTGTATTGATCCGCCAATGGCCCAGTGAGATCGTCCATCTAAAAAGACAAAGAGTCAAAGAATGTAAAATGCATTAAGTACCATTGTGTGCACTGTAACAATTTTCTGGTGTAGGCATTTTCCCCATTTTTGAAGAGGAGTTTGTTTGTATTAAAATTAATTTATTTACAATGATGCAGATTCTTAGAGTGCTCGCAAACAATGTCAAGTGTTTTTATATCTCTTTCAGTTGTCACACATAATAATTAGTTATCTATTGAGTTCAGAAATTGACATGAAAACTAAGAAGAGGGGAAGAAGGTCTTAGATCAAGTTTGAAAGTTTATTAATCTCAATTACTCTTTAAAGCTAAGATGTGAGTATGTAATCTGAGTTAAAATTCAAAATCTCCAATATGAACAACACTTGTTTCTGTGTTGGCTTTGGAACATTCTAACGCAATGTACTTTCTCCCTCTTCACATCTTCAAGTCCTCCACATTAATCTCCAACGACAATTGTTTTGAACCTTACATAATTTTCCATAAGGTAAAAATATTATTCTTTCTATAGAAAAATGAGACCTGAAGTAACTTAATCTTGACTGACAATCAAACAAATATAACTGATCACATTTTAAGTTTATTAATCCTGTTTTGATACCCACTGTTTCATTAAAAATAACTTTTGACCAAAATGTTCACATTGAAATTTATTTAATGTGGTAGATCAATACCATTGATGGCCTTATTTTGGACTGAACATCTTCAAAGAGCCTATTCTTTTAAAGCCTCTACTCACTGTTTTCTCCCATCTTGGCTTAAAATTTAAGACATTTACATTATCTTGTGATATTTCATAAGGCCGTAAATTGTCCTTGTCAAAAATGAGCTGCCTGAAAACATATTGAATTGTTGTGATGTTATCAGTTGTGAAAAGCAATGACCATTTATACATTTGTATTCTAGTGTTTCCTTCATCTTTTTCTATCGGTTCCAAAATACATTACCTTTTATAATATTTTGTATTATATGGCAAAACATTTGCAACTACTGTACAGAATCTCAAAATCACAATAAAAAGTTGTAAATAATTAACTGTCCACATTTTGTACAAAATGTTTCCATAGCAATTGTAACACAAAAACAGTTGCAAATTACTGAATTGAGTTTAACAATACACACATTTTCATTAACATTGATTACGAAGCTTTTCTGCACAAAATCATTTAAACTATTTTCTGATAGTTATGTCCAAAGTTATGTGTTCAAAATTTTGAAAAATTAGTGACCATAATATCCACATCATTAGGCTTGCATCATTACTTGCACTACTGCCATATTTCTTTAACTTCATGTTGTTCATGTTTTTCTCTCAACTGGATCAAAGCAGAACCGTCTGCCACTCTAAATACTATTATAGTTTTTGAATTTTCTTTTTCCTGTCTGAAGTTTACTTACCAGATTTTACGGGGCATACTTATCTCCGATTTAAATGAAGTGGCTCCTGACATCAGCAGTGACTGAACTCTGTTATGACTTTTTATATTGATTCGATTGGATAACCACGTCAATCAAACTCAGAATCACTCTATTTAAGTCGAAGTGTACTTTGTTTCATAAAATCTGTTGCATAGCAAACAATTGTTTTCATAAGTTTTGCCATCCGCACAGCGATTGAGATGGACAATGCAGCATGAATTGGCAATGAACGGAATAAAATGTTTCCAGTGGTATCATAGTCCAGTCATTGTTAATACCACAGTCCCGTCCGCAGGCTCTGCGCTTTTTGCTTTTTTCCCAAGGCAGTTTAAAGAGTAAAATAACAGGTACTGTACCTGACCACGTGATGAATCAACACGTCATCCTTCTGTTCGCGGAGTGTTAGTCGACATGCAAACATGAGATGTGTTATATTTGCCTCCGTTTTTTTCAAAAAGTGTTCATTGTTAACGTTGGTTTGTGTCTCGATGTTTCTAGATGTTAATGTTGAATAAGGTGTGTGATTTATTAATCATTGCTTTCTGTCGTCGATTTGAGCATCAATTATAAAATGGTGCTTGACAGTTTTTAGAGATGCTAGGAAGATGCTGTGCGCCAGACTGCAATTATCTATTACGGTGATAGTAAACGTTAATACGTTTGTTTTTTCAAAAGATCCAGTGTAGAGGAAACCCGGGATGTCTTCGATTAATAGGAGTGACTAATAATTACTCAAAATTTAGCTGTATGCATAGAACTTTTCAACTCAGCATGTGATTGCTGTATTTCGTATGAAATGAGATTATGTAACTTGGCTAATTTGAACCCAGGAAAAGATCTTTATTGACTGATGATGCATACCAAATATTTTTTTCCAAATTAACCATCCTACCTTACTTTTGTACTTCACCTACCCGAAAACCTGCTGAACGAAGGACTGAGATAGTACATCGAAAAGAAGTCAAGTGTTGAGAATGGAGCTAGAAAAAATACCATTGCCACTTTAAGGCGAAACTACTGACACTAGTTCAATTTGTTGCCACCACGTAGCAACACCAAAATAAGCCAAAATTACTTTACTAATAACATCTGAACAAATGGTCCGATTTTCAATCAGTAAACGACAAATTATTTGTATTTAATATATAATTTACGCTAAGAAGCCTCTTTGAATAAAAGTTTAAAAATGAGTTTTGGATTTTTTTTGGAATGGTTCTAGGAAGAAATTTTAAAAAAAATGTGCGTTTATAGCGCGATGGCGAAGTACTTCCTGAATCCAACGCCGTATCAATCGTCCACATCTGCTGAAAAGGCGCGACGTAAAGTGAAATTTGGCAAAATACAATGCCCCCCTCCCCCATGTCGCGCCGCCGCCGCCAGAGCCGCTACGCGTGGGAGCGCCGGCTCCGAGGGGCACGGAAGCATTTCGTAGAGGTAGGAGGAGCAGGGTGGGTGCGAGGCAGGCAAGCAGGCAGTTCTCTTGTGACTCGACCTTGAATTATCAGATAATGCTTTTGCTGTTTTCCGCATCACAACATTGGTTTTACATTCTCATATACGTACATTTAACGCGGTGTTCTATATGACGCGCGCGCGTATATATATATATATATATATATATATATATATATATATACACACACACACACACACACACACATTCAAAACATACATACAAGGATTCCTAGAATTTTATCGAAAGTGACGATTCACTGGTTCATCTGGACTGTCTCAAAGCTTTAGGAGTTCGAAAAATATTGTTTAAAATTTGGGGATACTTTAAATGACGCCCAAAGGACATCTTTTATATTTTCTAAAAAATTGTTCCAATTTTTTTCTTCGAATTTGTTGTAAGAATAGATTGAAACATATTCTCAAAGTGGCAAAGTGGCGATGGTTACTGTTACCTTTAATTTTTTTAAGTTTACAAAAGTTTGAATTTTGCTCTAAAATTGTTTTTCCTAATTAGTTCTTTCATTGACGCCATGCACATTCCTTTGAATTAAAGTCGCTTGTTTTCAAAACATGTACTCATGCAATAAAACTTAACATTATAATCTAATTGCATAAACTACTGTGTGATACCCCCAGTCTTACACGTGTACACACAGCCATTGTTTGAAAAAAAAGAAAAAAAAACTCGCAGAATCATTATTGCGCCCTCTTCGAGATTCGGATTAGAAGGGTAGCAAAGGCAACATTTATTTTAATATTTACGTCATGTAGTAAATGTGTGAGACGTGCTAAGAGGAGAAGGAAAACTCACGGAACTTAATTTGAAGTTACACGTATGTCCTGAAGTAAAACAAGGAACCATCTCAGCATTTGCTGAAAGATCAGGGAAACTAGACGAAAACCTGATCGAGATGGGGGTTATTGAATCAGAAGCTGAAGTACACCAATTGTTACAGGCACTTTAAAATTATTCAATCCAAATGGTAAATATTACATTACATGTCACTCTTAAAATGAATATTACTTTCATTTTGGATGCTCGTTATAGTCTCTAATTGCATAGAAACAATTGTGCATTAGAAAATATTTTTCTGTGAACGTAAACTTTTGTACCGAATTTAATCGATTAATGTCATCTGAAAAAGTGTTGTAAAATAATATTCATTATGTGCATTTTTTGTAATGAGCTGCTGATACTGGCACAAGGATTGTAAAAGCAAACATCATTTAATTTCAAACTTTTAACATCGTCCCAAATCCATCTGGTTTAGGAATCTCTAACATGTTCACGGGAGGAATAATTTGATTCGGTAATGACAGCGCGCAATTTTACCACTTTTTCGAATTTGTCCGAAAGTACGAAACCATTTTAAAAATTAGCTTCAGCTATTTTACTTGAGAAAAGAGAATCACAAAGTGAATTGTAGCAAGGAGACAAACGCCGTTTTGGGATCAAAAATCGAGTCGTGGGATAAGAGTGATCGTGCGTAATATCTCCTCACTCTTTCCGGTAGTGGAATGAGAACGGAAGTAAAATACTCGTATATGTAAAATAAGATGTGAAGCGATGGAATATTGGTGATATTTACACAATTCAATTTTCTTCTTGAAATCAGGTCCAAATCGGAGTCGATATTTTGAGTAATGCCTCAAACAATTTTATGACGGTATCCGAAGGAAGACGGAAATATGTGAACTATATCTGAAATATGTGAACCCCTCCTTCGGAGGAGAAGTAAAGCCGGCTGTCCCATGTTAGTAGATTTACTTGCATGTAAAAGATCCTCAAGCCTAAATTACGCCTCTGAGCTAAATTCAAATCGCCTGTTTCTCGCCCAAGAAATACCTCCTTTCTCTGCTAGTTGATGAAAGGAGCGTAGCGAAATTTGCGTGGTCAGACGGAAGAGCGGGCCTAATGGCGCGAGTCTCGCCACGTAAAATAAGGCAAATTCAATTCAATTCAACTATATAAATAATTTTATACTACTATTACAGATGATACGAGACCATTTGCTTTTGTTATAGCATCACTAGTTTGATATGTGGGGGAAAAATATAATGAGATGTAAAGTGACAAAAGCATAAGCCGACTGTCTGGTCTCGCAAGTTTGGCCTCTGCTGGGAGTCCCGGCCCGGGACTGGCCGCAAGCCGCCGGTGCTGGCCGTGCCGCCGCGCCAAAAGAGGGCATCATGTAGTCGCTACGGGTGAAAGAGAGGGGGCGAGGTGTTTTCCCAAATTTCACTTTACGATGCTCCTATCCATCCAATTTGCATGATTGACACGGCGTTGGATTCAGGAAACATGTCGCCATCGGGCTATATTGTTTTAAAATTTTTCTCGGAAGTTCGGACACCAATTTCAAATTCGAGCTTTTGCCTGATTTTTGGAAAAAGAGCTCTGTAGCGTAAATTCTATTCTAAAAAGGCGTCAAATGCCGTTTGCAGATCGAAAATCGGGCAATTGGTTCAGACTTTTATCGGTAAAGTAATTTCCCCTGTGACAGTGTTGCGATGTATTGAATTTTCCAACAAGTATTTTTCGGTACATTTAGCCTTAAAGATTTTTATTTGAAAAGGAAAGGAAAGGAAAGTTTTTTTTATTGTGTAGTGACGGGGTTATTTTTTAAAGTAAACCCGGTTGAAATGTGCCCAACAATTTCAAACGGCTTTATTATTTTTTGAATATCTTTCAATAGAGGAGAAAACCATTTTTTCCATTATAGTGACAAAAGGAAAATTCTGGATATATTTGTTTTAGTTGAGCAATGACGTAATTGTTATTGACTCTGTAGATTCACGCTGTAGCTTGTGCCATAAAGTATAAAAAATATAGTGCATAGAATTCGTGATGTTTTAAGCAACATTTCCTTTAAGTATTATAGAAAAGAAATTAATGATAAATGTCTCAAAACATTAACAAGAAACTAATTAAATATAATTGAAACGTTATTTTCAGAGGTTTTGGAAACTGAAAACTTATGCATGTGGGCACTACATTGCAGATTGTAGTTCATGGAATTGATTAATTATTGTATATTAAGATAGGTCTAATATTTAAGTTTAATTTCATTTATTGCTAAGGAAAAAACAATTGTAACTATTTGATTACATTATAAAAATATGTAACAAAATAAAAAGTTTCATGCCTAACATAATTTTTTTAGACATCTTTGCTATCTGTTTCTTACAATTATTGTGTGGCTCAACAAAGGAGGATTTAAAAGTAGGGTACTTTAAGAAGGCGGGAAATGGATACAATTACGAATAACCTGCGCTAGTAAAATCACATGCCGAAATAAACTTGTTTTTTCGAAATTTATACCATTTATCAGTTGATTAATACGAATCTGGTGGTCCATTATGTTCTAACAGTAAAAGAAAATCTGGAAATTTGCTGCCGTACACACATTCGTCGTCGCGTCTTCCGGCGCCGCTCCGACTTGGACTCTGACGTCACAATTTGAGGTGCAATGCTTCCATCTTAGGCTGCCTTGACGAAGTACTCGTAATACACGTATTATAGGGAGAGTTACGTAATGCTGCGCGAAAAAACAGAGGATTTTCGACAGAAAAAATTCATTGCCGGGCCTTGAAAACGAAAAAGAAAATAAATGTAGTTGCTAAATGAAGAGAAAA